TGTGCCAAGCCTCTGATAAGAGAACAAAATTGGGCTGTGTGAATGAAACTCATAGTCCCCACAGATTCTGACAGTTACCTTTGATTGTGAGAAACAGAACACAAAACAGAAACAATACTGAATTTAAAATCATAAGATATTTTATTGCTCAGTTTCTTTAATTTTATCAGGTTCTCTTACTTTTTGGTCAAATTACCTACTAAAGCTTTGCAAACTGCATTACATTCACTGAACAGCAATAGCTGCTTGAGAAAAACAGGAAAACTGCTGAAATTTTGTTTTCATCACTTTCTTTGTTATTAGAAAAACTTAAACAAATTCTCAAAAACTATGTGGAAGAATCCTGTATAAACAAAGCTATGCACGGGACAAGCCCACACAACGCCTAAAAGCTGAAATTATATAAACATCAACAACGCCCTCCAGTGGTCGCAGATGCTCATTATACACAAAAGTATAGCTTATTTTGCATTAAGATGTTCAGTTACTATATAGGGAGTACCAAACCTACAAAAATTACAAATAAATAAATAATGCAACAATAAAAAATAATAATAATAAAGGATTTTTAATTTTTATAAGGAATAAATGATAAAAACAAATTTCCAGTTGAATGTAGTCATTCATTTTTGTATTATTTTCCCTTTATTATATTCTTTCTTTATTTGTAACGTCGTTCTTCATTATTTATTTTTTTTTTATATTTATTTTTAATTTTCGCAAGTTTTTTCCTCCATAATTATAATCTGGTCAGACACAAAAAAAGACTCAGAAAAATAAATCCAGTTTCAATCAGATTTAATTTTACAACTGTTTACAGACTTCAAGGACAATATTTAGACTTGACGTCACATTTCACAGAAAGGAAATAAAAAAATTTAAATAAATGAACAGCTCAAATGAGGAGAAAACAGAAATGGTTGACTTCTGCTGTGACAAACTATTATAGCACAGAGATATTACAGTCAAAAAGCACTGAGGTTTCTACAATTGTCATATCAAAACATTCACATTAGAACTGAAAACCTCTCCTGGTCGGCAAAAACGATACAGATGTCACCGTGTCAAAGCAAATCCAGCTATACAAACAAATTCAGACCGAATAGCTTCAGTCCAGTTCAGTAATAGGTTGCCAGATCACCATGATAAACAACCGTACATGAACTCGGGCCCATTTATTTATATACAATAGTATATAGTTGTCATTAGGAGCATCTGTGTTAGTGACACTGTAAACGTTGTTGTGGTTTTAACAGAAGTCTCAGTTGTTGTGACTTTAATAAATGAAATAAAACATTTTTTAAGAATGAGCTTTTTCTTCAGATAGCACATACATTCCCAAACTGATCATTTCATTTAACAAAGTAGGCCTATATTTGTACTTCAGAAATTTTTTTTTTAATTGCTTGGCAATATGGTAGAAAACCAACAGCTAAATTAAATTATGTTTGGTCTGTGGGGGGCATTTGGTATAAAGCATTTGTGGCCAAATACAGAGGCTAAATATCCTCTGTATTTAAATATCAGAATCCTAATTATTGGTTCAAAAGTGAAGTGAGTTCTGGCGTGTGGCCAAGTATGGTGACCCATATTCGGAATTTGTCAGTGAGTGCAGCCTCTGCTTGGGCACTACCTAGACAGGCGATGTCTCTGGAAATGGCCGCATAGATGGCCGCAGGGGAAGGCTTCTGGCTTCTTCCACAACCGGGGGCTCCTTCTACGGCGGCGAGCAGCAGGCTGAGCTGCACTTCTTCCTTCTTCGGCTTCTTGCTTTCAGAGTCAGCGAGGAGATGATCTTCGTCGCTGAAGGAAAAAAATTCTGATGAAATGGCACTCAGGGCCGACTTATATAGAGGTCGGCTCCTCCCCTTTTGGTGGGTTTAAGAAATCAGGCTTCAGTATCAGAGTAAACAGGAGTTTCCCCCATAAGCGTGTCAATGCAACGGGAGAGACTGCTCGAAAGGGAACAATAAAAACTCAAGAAGTTTTTTTTTGACATGTTTATTCAATATTTACATGGTTATTATATATTTACATGGTCAATGTACAATGTGCTTTCCAGAAATACAATAATTTAACAGCAAGTCTGTAAAATATTGTGTGACATGAATTTTGCTTCAAATAAACTACAGAAACAACTCCAAAGATAAATACACATGCATACGCAAGCATAAACAAACCCAAAATAAATAAAAATAAATAATTAATTAAGAAAAGAAAATAATAAACAGATAAATAAGAAGTTTATATAATTGCATTGTTTGGCAAGTGATGTTAATCTGTGCTCCTTTGAGAGCCAGTCCACTTTCCATTCTGCATTGAAATGAGAGTTTTAACAGATGAAAGACAGATCTAGGCCCCAGACAAGACAGACCCTATGCCTCAGAACTCTAACCTCACCTACTGACACTTCTTCCATTCATTTGTGTACACCTTTAAGAGCTAACTTGGCATGGGCATGTCAGTCTGGTGAGGTGAATCCAGGGCTTCCCGTTTCAAGTCACCCTCAGCAGACATGAGAAGGTGATGAGTGTCCTGTGGGGGGACTCTCTTATTCTCAGACTAAACTCAATGAGGAAGGACTAATATGACCTGAATGTCCTGCACTTCTGAACAGAACGCTGTCTCTCTGCGCCTTGTTAAGGGACAATGTTTGTTTTGTTTCATTGAATTCTTAGAGGGGAGGCTGAGAGAGGGTGGAAGGGGACGGGGGGTCCGTGAGAGATTCAACACAGTTGCTGTGGCAACTAGTTTTGGCCCCTTGAGTACACTAACATACAAATCAGGGTCTGGACTAAGGTCCTGGGCACCAAAAAACAATGCAACCAGAGCCACGGACCACCACGAATAGAGGACAGGAAACGCTAGTGAGTTTTATTCTGATTCACTAAATCACGATGCCAGTTTAAGGATGGAAAAGAAAAGTTTTCCATTGCATTTTTTGTCATACTTGTGTATTCAAGGCACATGGCAATCTAAAAACAAGAGTAGGTGTTGCAGTGGCTCACGTGGGGGCCAAATTTCCCTGCTTCTCGAGGGCCCAGGACATCGCACTCCTTTTTTCCCCTTCATGTTGTGTGCCAAGCCTCTGATAAGAGAAAACGTTTTGCGCATTTTTGGAATGTCAGTGTAAAAATATCATGTTATCATTAGTACTGTCAGATGATGCTTTTGCTTTACCTGAACATGCACAAACAGATGAATTTATTTAAAAAATGTAAGATTTATGAAAAAAAAAAATGCATGTATAATCTGCTAAGAAGTCTTAAGGGTCAGAGATACAACAGGGTGTCTTCATTTTCCATACATTTCTTTCCTAAAGATTCGTAAAGCTTTATTTCATAGATGTACCATAGAGATCAGTGTTGAGCTAAGAAAATTTTCTTTTCCAGTGTCATTTCCTGGCTTTGGCAGAGTTTAGCTGGCGTTTTTAATCAGTGTTTAAGGCCTGACCATGAAGATCAGCTGTCTGTGTGTCGGCCAAGCATGACAATGAAGAAGATACTGTAGCTAATCTACAGATGCATTTAATGGGCCATTGTAGACCATTTAAAAACATTCAAGAACTGCATTCCACCGCAGCTCTCTGTCCCTAATAAAAATTTACAAATGGGCTCAAGGTTAAAAACATGAATTTAAAATCAGTAAATGATTTTAAAATCTAGAAATCTTTAAACCCTATTTTAAAATGTCAGCTCTGCTGGTATTTAATATTTATTTATATATGAAATTTTTAAGTAAACACTAATACACTGAACTAGCAAAGAACGAAACACCAATATATAAAATATACCTGTATAAATTTTTCTGTTTACAAAAAGTCACACGTACACCACTCTACTGAGAATAAGTGAAATTGAAATTGGCTGGTACTGGTGCCAACCAAACTGTAAAAATACTCAAAATCCTAGCTGCAATGAGTATACAATGAAGCTCAGCTTTATCATGCTTGTTAAAAGCTGATAAATATATCCCACTTGGTACAGTATGGTTCACTCGACAGTAAATAAAACCCTAACCTGTGCAAAGTTGGGCAAAAGAGAAAGGGGTTTGCCAAGGAAACAAGGACAAAATCTTTTTATGGCCGTTTTTGTCTGTCAATGGATGTAAAATCAGTAACTTCTTTTTAAAGCAACTGAATTTCATTAAATGATAAAAATGAATTCTCTGTTACTATTCATATCAATTGAACATAAGAAAAAAGGGAAAAGACATGTTTTGTGCCAAGCCTCTGATAAGAGAACAAAATTGGGCTGTGTGAATGAAACTCATAGTCCCCACAGATTCTGACAGTTACCTTTGATTGTGAGAAACAGAACACAAAACAGAAACAATACTGAATTTAAAATCATAAGATATTTTATTGCTCAGTTTCTTTAATTTTATCAGGTTCTCTTACTTTTTGGTCAAATTACCTACTAAAGCTTTGCAAACTGCATTACATTCACTGAACAGCAATAGCTGCTTGAGAAAAACAGGAAAACTGCTGAAATTTTGTTTTCATCACTTTCTTTGTTATTAGAAAAACTTAAACAAATTCTCAAAAACTATGTGGAAGAATCCTGTATAAACAAAGCTATGCACGGGACAAGCCCACACAACGCCTAAAAGCTGAAATTATATAAACATCAACAACGCCCTCCAGTGGTCGCAGATGCTCATTATACACAAAAGTATAGCTTATTTTGCATTAAGATGTTCAGTTACTATATAGGGAGTACCAAACCTACAGAAATTACAAATAAATAAATAATGCAACAATAAAAAATAATAATAATAAAGGATTTTTAATTTTTATAAGGAATAAATGATAAAAACAAATTTCCAGTTGAATGTAGTCATTCATTTTTGTATTATTTTCCCTTTATTATATTCTTTCTTTATTTGTAACGTCGTTCTTCATTATTTATTTTTTTTTTATATTTATTTTTAATTTTCGCAAGTTTTTTCCTCCATAATTATAATCTGGTCAGACACAAAAAAAGACTCAGAAAAATAAATCCAGTTTCAATCAGATTTAATTTTACAACTGTTTACAGACTTCAAGGACAATATTTAGACTTGACGTCACATTTCACAGAAAGGAAATAAAAAAATTTAAATAAATGAACAGCTCAAATGAGGAGAAAACAGAAATGGTTGACTTCTGCTGTGACAAACTATTATAGCACAGAGATATTACAGTCAAAAAGCACTGAGGTTTCTACAATTGTCATATCAAAACATTCACATTAGAACTGAAAACCTCTCCTGGTCGGCAAAAACGATACAGATGTCACCGTGTCAAAGTAAATGATTTTAAAATCTAGAAATCTTTAAACCCTATTTTAAAATGTCAGCTCTGCTGGTATTTAATATTTATTTATATATGAAATTTTTAAGTAAACACTAATACACTGAACTAGCAAAGAACGAAACACCAATATATAAAATATACCTGTATAAATTTTTCTGTTTACAAAAAGTCACACGTACACCACTCTACTGAGAATAAGTGAAATTGAAATTGGCTGGTACTGGTGCCAACCAAACTGTAAAAATACTCAAAATCCTAGCTGCAATGAGTATACAATGAAGCTCAGCTTTATCATGCTTGTTAAAAGCTGATAAATATATCCCACTTGGTACAGTATGGTTCACTCGACAGTAAATAAAACCCTAACCTGTGCAAAGTTGGGCAAAAGAGAAAGGGGTTTGCCAAGGAAACAAGGACAAAATCTTTTTATGGCCGTTTTTGTCTGTCAATGGATGTAAAATCAGTAACTTCTTTTTAAAGCAACTGAATTTCATTAAATGATAAAAATGAATTCTCTGTTACTATTCATATCAATTGAACATAAGAAAAAAGGGAAAAGAAGGGAAAAACGAAAAAAAATCCCAAACATGAGTTGTTTAAAGGAAACCAGATTTAAAGTCAGTCCTCTTCAGTCTGCACCTTGTTTTGAATCTGTTCTGCTCAGTACGATGATATGTCCATCTAACTCTTCTGGAAAAAGAACAGAAAAATATCAATTTTAAATACAATGTATGATTTCTTAACATTTATACATCAAGGATTTAAGTGAGTTACATTTACCATACTCGACTGCTTCCCGCTGTGAACTGAAGTGACCTCTGCAATTTGCCGCTGTAACTTGTGAGAGGTGGAGAGGGTGTCATCTTCACTGTCAAGGTCTCGTTCCGACTCTCGCGCCCTCTTACCAGTCACACTTCCTCCTGAGTGCAGCAGGTGTCCTGCTAAACACCACACAGAATATTGTAAACACAAAAATAGGAATATATTAACACGCTTCCTTAATAAAGCAACTTTTTAAACTTTGGATATGTTGTAAAAAAACTATGATATTCATGTAACACGCAGTACACATTTCCATGTCTGTTACCTGAATGCTGTGGACCTGTCATGTCGTGTGAGACATTACATTTGTAAATTCGACTGCTGTGCCCTGTGTCGGTCATGTGATGGTATCCTGGAAAACAAGCAAGAGAAAAGAACTGCATGAGAAAACAGATCTTACGCAGATCTTATTTGCTAATAACAATTATTTACACCTATAAATCTATTAGTGTATTAAATTAGTGTGAAAGGTGACACCTGATTGCTGCTGCTGTTGTTGCTGAATTCCACTTGGTCCCTGCTGCTTTTCACTGTCAAATTTCAGCAGAATACTTCCACTCCTTTTACCACTGGAACCGCCTGATACAGCTGGTGCTTTCAGGATGTCAGTTTATGTCACATCAGTATGCACATAACCCACAAAAAAAAAAAGAAAAAAAAAAAAGAAAGATATTTTAGCCATGAATTAAAAATTTGTTCCCACAACTTAAGTCTTGTAAATTGTAAATCATTCCCTGGTTTAGTTACTGTACATCGTGACTACGAATTTAGCTAAATTAAAACGACTGAAGGAATTACCACAATGTGATTTAACTAAAACAAGGGAACAAGTAGAACATTGCCACAAATTAAGTAGTGGGAACAAAATCATAATGTGTCCATGATATCTATTTTTATTTCCCCATGTCACGTGTGGGCATCTGTAAATCAGTAGTTTGTTTGTATTTTTTTTTTACACACATTTTTATATTATATTATATTATATCCTTCACTTTGTCTTCAATTATTAAAGATATAAGAGATAAATTCCTTGGTTTAAAAATATAATTGCTTTTAAATGAGTCAAAAAGTTGTTAACATTTGGTATTTATTAACTTTTCTTAAAACATTTAAGAAAATAAAAAAGCTGATAGGCTTTATTTGTCTGTAATTTCAAATAAAGGGGAAAAAAAATGAAATTCACCTGGTGTATTGGTCCCCGACTGCTGTTCCCCTGGGGAGTATGCCATCCCATTCCCATTCCCGTTGTGTGTGGATGGTACGGAGGCCAGAAGTCCTGGTAAAATAGAATGTAGAATTATCTTCTACTGCAGCAATGCACAATTTAAGCATTTGCTAGAACTTCAGACAATTATACACTTTATCAACTGCATGTGAGGCTTGTTTTTCACTGATAAATGTGATTGCATGTAAGCTAGATAGTTGCTTGCTAATAGAAGACGGTGAAAATTCTTGCCAAGTCCTCTGTAGCGTGAAAGTTGTTGGTAGATCTGCTTCATCCTCTCAATGTTGAGGCGGCTCGCTTCAGCGTGGTTCACCATGGGTTTGGGGTAGTGGACACCGATGATGCACTTGGCAGCGGCCTGCACAGAGTCTGGGGCGTTCCATGGGTCGTAGATATATTTGGCAGGGAAACCTCGGAGAATAGGTAAATATCGTCTGAAAGAACAAAGAGAGATTAAACCAGTCTCATCATAAACATGAGGAAGGTTACGCGAGATGGTTATTGGGTTCCCAAGTTTGAACAAGCAGGCACAAAAAGAATGACACAGTTTCTCGGATTACAAAAAGCGTCAAGACTGCAGCTTGTGGAAATGATTAATTTACAAGGATCACAAAATGGTATTTTCACACCATTTAACGGTGTAATATCATAAACGTGAATGTATAGATATGCGCCACTTCATACTACAAATAACAATATAAATGGAAAAGAACTGAAAAATTCAGGCTGTACTAAAATCAGGACTTGCGTCTCTCCTCCAGGTCCCAGGGACAGAAAAGGCCACCTACGTAAGGTGCTCCACCTTACCAGAGCATAGGGACGGAAGAATGCAGGAGGCACGGCTTGCAGACAGCAGACGCACTTTAAACTGGACAACAGGTCCCGCCTGTGCTGAGACACTACGGAGATTCCTACTACAACACGTATTAGAAAGCAGAGGCAGTGACCAGGCCCTCCCAATCCAATGACAGAGCACCCTCCCACAACCCCATCCCACCCGCTTCAACAAATCGAAACTCAGGGCTGAGTGAGAGGTTCAGGTTCGATCCCTGCCCCTCGCACTGCCACTGATCGCTTTTGAGACGACAGTGATCCCAAGCCAAGGCAGAGAAACCTGCTAGCCGCCAAAGGAGAAACGCAGTATACTGTCCTCTGCTGCTGGGTGGCCCCCTCATTTTGCCAAAAGAGACTAGAACCCTTTTGCCAGGAACAGTCACATCCTGCCTGAACAAGAAAAAAGCCAGAACCACATTACATGTACAGAAGCAGATCTGAAAAATTGCTGGATGACCTACGGACCGTGAGTGACTTCGTTGGGACAAAGGTACGACTCTCTCTCAATGCCAGGACTCTCGTTCTCTTGCATAGGCAGTGCTGCATTCAATGCCTAGAGGACCGCTAAACATTTAAAAAAAAAAAAAAGAGTCTGATAAGGAGGAGTTGTCCAAACCTAGACTGAAGTCATTGGCACTGGCTTTGGGCCCCACCTCCCATCATGCTCTCTGGGAAATGCAATGTGGCTCTCTATGCATTGAAAACAGGCCAGGCTTCATATATATTTCCCTACCAAGCAGATGAAATCCCTTTTGATGAAACGAGATCCTACCGAGCTAAAGTACAGGCTACTGCATTTCCCGCTGATAAAGCATCAAGCTTCAACCACATTCACAGCTAACAGGTTTCCAAATGCTTTGGCTAAGAATGGCTTTCATCTTAAAAGCAATCAACCACAATTCACAAAGAGGAAAGGGAAAGCTGAACTTTTCACCCAATCCGTGAGACGACCACACAGAAACACAAAAACATATACGCTAACATGCGTATGAGCTATGATAAATACGATGACAGCAATGTTTACAAGCAGACATATGCTCCTTGAAGGGGCCTATAATGAGGACAATGTGTTGGGAAAGTACCAAAATCCTGGAACACCAAATTCTGGAACTGGAAGGCCTTAGGTGGAAAAGTTAGAACACAAAGAGGCTACATGGGACAGGTTTGCTTTCTTGACTAACTCATGTTGTAATTCATGTCTAGACCTCAACTGATACTATTCTGCATCTCAGTCATATATAAAAAAAAACAAATGTTATGTATATGACCCCCAACTGTATAAAATCCCTTGTCCCTTGTCCCTTGTCCCTTGTATAAAATTACCCTTCCAAATGACCCAGAAATTCTTTACATTCCTCTGATCGAGTTACTTTAAAAAATGTTTCCTCATTCTATTAAACTGTCCTTCTGTGTGGCTAATCTTTAATGCATTCTAGCATTTAAACAAGGGCCTTGTAGTGAAAGCATGATATTCAGCCTGGAATTAGTGTGTATTTTTAGAAACGTTACCAACCTAATGAAATCGCCGTTAGGGTCAGTGCGCCTGCCGAAACCCACTGGACAGTAGCAATGAAAGAACTGTTGAAAGAAAGAGCTACAGGAGAGCCACATCCAGCTGCCTGCATTTACACTCCAGTCAGCATCCAACAGGAGCTCCTCGAACACCTGTCAATCATAACTACCATTATTCTCCAGCCAATCAAAGATGGTGGTTATAAGGTAATTTAGGCCTATTAAAAATAGACTTTTACACTACAGTTCGAAAGTTTGGGGTCAGTCCGTAATTTTTTATACTAAACTCTTTATTCTTTGATGTTTTTTTTCTTAATTTTAAAAGAAAATTTACATGGAAATAAAATACCTCAACAACCACGGCTGATAAAATATAGGTCACTCTATTATCATTATTAGTGTGACTTAAACACTCAAGGTCTTTAAACTCAAATGTATCCATCCAGCATATTTTTATATTCCTCCATAACAGGGGCTGGCAACCTTTCTAACATGAAGTGCCATTTTTTACATTTTTCACAGTTTTAAAATATCTGCTCTATGAAATAAAAAATAATATTTTATCTCCCATGTGTAAGATATGCACCTTCATGCCCTCTTCCCAACTGATCCACAGGTCTCCACGAGTGAGAAAACAAGCGACAGCATGACGGGCCAAGTGGTGGATCCAGCCCTCCTGCCTCAGCTGGGTCATAATGGCATCAATCCATGGAAAACCTGTCTTAGCTTCAGCCCATTTGGCTAAAGCATCTGGGTTCTTGTCCCAGGGGATGCGCACACAGATCGGGTTGCCTTCCATCTTATCAAATCGTGGGTTGTTGGTGGCGGCAGTGTAGAAAAATTCCCTCCACAGCAGCTGACCATAGAGGGAGAGTGGAGGAGTGCTGGTTTTCTTTACCTGCAAGGAGAATTTCACACAAATCTAGATATTATATTCATTTTTACTTATTAAAAAACAGGATACTACCACATGATTAATATACAGACAATTTTAGCTGAATTCCCAGCAAAAAGGAACTATATAATTATATAAGA